GTTGTTGTTTATGTGGCGGAGAGTCGAATCGAAATGCAGAATACCAAAGTTGCCAAACGGAGAAAATTTCGATTCGAATTGAAATGCAGAATCGGGGCGAGTAGCTAATAAAAACAAGTGGTTATATGCGGCTTTGCCTAAAAACGTCCCGTAAATTAAAGTGAATTTCGGAAGGTTAACTAATTCGTTATCGATTTTAATATATTTTAATATAATCAATTCCGAAAAAATACACTTAGGACACTATCGGGCCTGTTGTCGTCTTCTTTTCCTGGATTGTAATTGCTAAGATTATTCCAGTCTGTGTTTGTGAGGGATCTTATATCCGGAATGGATGTGTTTCAATTTTGACTTATTAAGAAAGACACACATATTGACCAAAATAAGGTAAAGATTTCGGTATTAGAACTGGCTAAAAAACTTTCCGCCTTTTACGACCCTTTATAGACATATTTCTTGGTGCGTTTCATGGAAAAGTATAATTGATAAATGTGAATTAATTTTATGAAAATAAAAATTTTCACAGCTTCACTGTGCTTCAAATCATTTTAAATTTTGATGTCAACTTTATTTAATATTGAGTTGTACTTCTAAAGAAAATTATCCCACTACACTGAAACAAAAATTTATTCTTTGTGAGATCAGCGTTAAGTACCTATTTTGAGCAAATAATTTTAAATAAACAAAACAAAGCGAATAAAAAGAGAAAATAGCAAATAACAGGTTGCGCAAAAGTAATCCCCCTATCAGAAAATACAATAAATTTTACGAGACCCCTAATGACATTAGGAGTCTCGCAAAATTTATAGCATTTTCTGATAGTAGTATTACTTTTGCGCCGTTAGAATATTTTTGGCCCATAAAATGATTTTTAGTGGGTTGGAGAGGCATATTGTTTTCGCTTTTTATCGAAATGGGTGTCAACATTGTCGTAATTCTTAGCTCATACAGAAAAATATTCAAAAAAAATTTTAGCATTTGGTTTAGTCTATTTCAGAATTTTTTTAAAATTTATATGACAATACAATAAAAGTCGTTTTGCGGATCAGAAATACACTACCTAAAATGTTTAACTATTTTTCCCGCGACAAGCTCAAAATTACGGAATTTTTGACACCCAATTCGAAAAGATTACAAAAAATTGTTTTGAACATATTGTACGGAGACCAAGATTTTCAATCGCAGGTAGGGAACCTTTTCAAAAGAACGTTTTTTTATTTTCCCGTATTTAGTACATTGAAACGCATCGTTTTAGAGGTATTCCTCCTACGGGGCACCCTACATATGTATATTTCATGTTTCAATAGGATTTAGTAATATATTTCCGCAAATTCCATTGTATTAAAATTGAAAAAACTTATTTCGTTGGATGTTTTTTCTCGAAAACATGCCTGACAGAATTGTTGAAGGTTTGGATTCTTGTTGGGATTTTGCGATCTTCAGAAATTTGATTTCAACATACATATGTATGTATTTCTCTGTATTTACCAGGCTGGTTTTTACCGCACATTCAACAGACGGACATGGAAAGATTGGGGTTTACACAGAAAATTACACTTGCCAGATTCTTAAAATAAAATATAATTAATTAGATTTAACGTAACGTAACGTGCCATTTTTATTTCCATAATATAGACTGAACTACATTATGGAGTATCAGACAGATAATGCCCAGTTTTAAAATAAAATGCTCAGGATCAAAGGAACACTCCTTACTAAATTCTTTGTAATACATTTAACCAGAATTGTGGACAATTTCTGGGCTCAATTTCTGAAGGTTAGGGTCAGGTGAGTAGGGTCGTCAAGTTAAATGTACAACTTTATTGTACCGCCTTTAGTTGAAATACGAGTATATTAAATATAATTATGAGGACAATAGAAGATCATGTACCAAATTTAATTTACTTTCTTCAAAAGTACGACTTTTAGATTGATTACAAGTTTTACATGGACATATGTAGCTAAATCCATTCAGAAAATGAGTCTAATCCGATTGGTATACTTTAAGGAGGGTATAGCAGCAACATTATTGTGCTTTACAAACATCAGTCTCCTAACTAATGTGGTGTAGGGTATAAAAAGTACTAAAAATGAAATGGGGGTTTTAAAAATTTTAAAAAACCTAACCCTAATATTTCTCATCCATGGTATGTACATATTTTCTGAAGTTGACCGAATATGGGATAAGGATTTTGGCTCATGAGAAACTTACTTGTGTTGAATTTCATCGCTATACTCGTATTTTTAAAACAGTTATTCTTGTACTTGTACTTGTACTGGGCATTATCTGTCTGATACTACTTGTACTTGTATTGGTGCTAGGCGAAATCATGGACCGGCATAGGTCATTTTCAATTCTAAACAAATCTTATCAATACAGAATATTTATGCAAAATTTAAACTGTCACTATCGTGATTTCAACAGACAGGCGGACGGGGCTAGATAGTCTTAGAATTTTATAAGGACCCAGAATATACATATATACGTTTATGGGTCTATGACCAATATTTCGATGTGTTACAAACAGAATGACTAAAATAATATACTCTCAAGGTGCGTATACAAATGTCTGTACATACAATACTGTATTTAAAGAATAATAAGGGAATTAAAAATTGTAGAAATGAGAAAACTTAGTTTAAATTTGCAGGTTTAAATAGGCGATTAAACACATACATATGTATGTATATCAGTATTGTGCAAATAAAATCTAATCGTAAATGCAGAGAGTAAACAGTTTGAAAGTTTCAACGAACACCCTTAATGCTTTTGATGTACTTGTTTAATTACAAAACTTTTCGTAAATGGGCTGTCTATGCCATAATTAGATTTCAACTTTGACCATTTTGCAAAAACCTACTACTCTTTTAACACTTGAAATTTTACAGTAATTAAACATCTTGGATCTTATTCATAAACTTTTATCAAAGATTTATAAATCAAATTTTCATACAAATTTTGTTATATAAATCTTTGATAAATGTTTATGAACAAGGCTTATGTTAATTAAGTTTACAGACTTAATGGCGAAAAGAAAGTAATAAAATATTATGTACATACTACTAGTTATTTTATTTACACTGGTTTATCTTAAATACCAGTTAAGTAGCTCTAATGCGAATATGTTTATAATACACAGTTTATTGCAATAATTTCTAAAAAAAACTCTAGGTTTTATATTGTTTTGAAATTAATAAAACAGGGCGCTTAAATTACATAAATTTTCTCTGGTTCATTGAATAAGCAGTTACATACATAAATCACATACTTTATCAAAAACCGAGAACGTTTGGTCTTATTACTTACATATATTAAATTTTACTAGATTTTTATAAGTTAGTTTAAAAGGGTAATGACTTTTTTTGGACGGCAAAATACCATAGCACTGCTTTATAGCTAATACTGTCCTGATAATATAAGGCTACACCACTTTAGTGGGGAGGGTATATTGGATTTGTGCTGATGTTTGTAACATACAAAAATATTCGTCCTAGACCCACCTTAAAGTATACCAATCGGCTTAGAATCGTTTTCTGAGTCGATTAAGCTATGTCTGTCCGTCCGTCTGGCTGGCTGGCTGTCCATGTAAACCTTGTGCTCAAGGTACAGGTCGCAATTTTCAAGATAATTGGATGAAATTTGGCGCGCACATTTTATTTGACCCAAGGACGAAGCCTATTGAAAATGGTTAAAATCGGTCCATTATTTCACCTAGCCCCCATAGAACAGAACCCCCCGAAAAGGGCTTCTGAGCTCATAATTATGTTATATATACAGATATATCGATAAAATACGGCACAACTAAGTTTTATAGAAGTCTTGATGATCCTGCCAAATTTCATAAAGATCGGGCCCCATTTGACCCTAGCTCCCATACAAAGTCCCCTTCAGAAAATTACTTGAATGTCCCAAATTAGCTTATAAACACAAATATCGCAATGAAATTCAGCACAATAAAATATTAGCCCTAAAATACTAGCCCCCATATAAAGCCTATTTCAGAAAATTGGTTTTTCATCCATAAATTGCTTAAATGTATCGGAACAAGGGAATATTGAAGATAAATGCTTTATTATGAAAAATAAATCACATTTAATATTCATAACTGGTGTAGGGTATCATATGGTCGGCCACGCCCGACTATACTTTCTTACTTGTTTTAAAGTCAATTCGGTCAAAAAACTTCCCGCACCGAAAGCAATTTCTAAAATGCTTTCGTTCGTTATTTTTCAAAAATTATTTTAATAATTTTCATATAAAATTTTCTATAACATGCATTATTGTGATTTGTTAAAATTTCCATAACAAGGATTTAAAGAGCAATGTTCTCTTTAAGATAATGTAATACAAATGCAAAAATTTATTTTTCTCATATAGAAAAAGTTAAATTTATACTTCATCGTCCATCTATGGTGCGGGAACTTTTTTCACGATCGCGAAAAAATAATATCATATTTCTTAACATCTGTTCACACCCTACAAGCTCTTGCTATGGTATTTTTGATATTTACAAAAATTGCAAAAAGTCATAACCCTAATGTACATATGTTATATCATATTCGAAGAAATACACCTTGGCCACTATCGGGTGGATCTAATGAAAGCTTTGCCAACTTTGTACCACAAATTCGCAACCGATTTAAAATTTTTAGGAATTTTAAACTATTTTGGAGAATTAATAGTTTTGTATAACATTTATGAATAAAAACTTAAAAGATTTAGATTGTAACCAGCTCATTTCTGAATATTTCAAATTTAAATTTATCGTTAAAAATTAACGTATTTCAAAATAATCAGTCAACCGTGTATATTTTCCAATTAAACTTGAAAAACGATAAATAAAATATTTAATTTTATTTAAACCTAGGGGAAAAGTTTCCTGGAATACAAACCCTCTTCGAGACAATTGTTTTACTTACATTTATTGTTATTTTTTTTTTAATTTCCTACTTTGTAAAACACTTTAATAAATATGTATTTTTTTATATTTACAGTTAGAATATAAATGGAATAAAATAAACCAATAAAAATGTACATATTGGACTCATTGAGTTTTACAAGAACAGCAGCAGCAACGACAACACCAACCTTAAACCCAACGACATCGTCGTTATCATCAGTATTTAAGCAACAAGAAAACAACAACATTGTTAACAATTTAAAAGTAACGCCAGCAACAATCAAAAACGATTTATGTGAAATGACAACAAATAAGTACAAACAACTGCAACCACCACAACAAACAACAGATCCACAGCAACAACAACTACAACAAAACAGAGTGGATGAAAAATTCATGTTACAAAAGAAGTCGTCATCGTCTCCGCATAAAATAAAAGAAATGATTAAAAATAATAATAATAATGAAAATCTTAATGACGAACTAGCAATGACAGCAATTGAAAATAATACGACAATTGCTGACAATACAATGCCCCAAGTACAACAGCAACAAAACAATGACAATAACTACAACTATAAAAGAAATGACAACAGCAGAGCCAACGAATGGGGTAAAGTACCTGCAACATACAACTGCAAATGCCACCACAATTGTTACAATAACTGCAGCGAAACTAATACCAACACCACCATCGACATCGATGCAACCAAAACAAATGCCTCAAACACCACAGATGCCACCACCACTAGTGCCGCTACATCCAAAGCTTTAGATTTTGATAAAAACAATATAGAACGAGTTGAAGAAATAATGTTGGCGAATATTCAAAATAATGTCAACCTTAATACTTTTGTTTTACCACCAGCGACAGCAACAACAACATTACAGAATGTAAATAGTAGTGGAAATAGTTGTAGTTCTCAACTTGGTATTGGCATGATGAGAGATGTAGCCAGTGAAGGTATGTTTCCGCCACTAAAGACATCTAAACATAGTTGCAGCCCAAATAACTATAGTGACTGTATTAGTGTCACTTACCATGGTAATGACGATGACAATGGTGGTGGTGGTGGTAGTTCTTGTCACAATAGTAACAACAAACATAAAATCAACAACAACAACATGAGTAGCAATAATAATAATAACAATAATGTTATTTTGAATACAAACAGTTTTGTAACGGTTGAGTGCTCTCGCTTAACATGCGAGAATGAGCGCGAACAAGAAGAATCAAGAAAACAACTACAAAACGGATATGAAAACAGTGGGAACAACAATTTCACAATAGCTGAATTAACCAATCTTTTGGGAGAGCAAGAACGTTTCTCTCCCTGCTGTGACAGTGAACGATTTGAAGCCCCACTAGGAAATCTAATCGAAAATGCTGCTTTGCCGTTTTATGATAGTCCAATTGATAGTGTTTTGGAAAATTTTGAAAAATTCCTAAATGCTGTAAAGTTAGAAAATCAAAATTTAAATCAAAGTGTTCCCGAATGCAACGATTTGATAGATTTAAGTGATGATACAAAAAGCGTATGTGATAGACCAGGTAAGGAAAAGAAATATTTTAAAGTCATATATTTGTATCTAGTCCTTTAAGTGACGGAGTCACCGAGTGACAAAAGCTTATAAATTACTAATTTCTCGAGGAATATGTTCAATGTTTCGCAGCCATATAGAAGCACGGCTTTTACATTGGAGTTAGAAACTTAAAGTTTTATGTTCCTTGGGATGTTTTGTGGCCTCTAGAATTTGTTGAGCATGCCAAAAGCCTGCTCTTCTCAATCTTTTCTGTATGTCCTCCTTGCTGCCTCCAAACTTGAAGTCGGCCAGTGTTCGGATTTGATAGATCAACATCAAATCCGAAGAAATACACATTGGCCTCTGTCTTTACCAGTGTCTCAGGTGGGAATCGAACCCTCTGGTCTACCAGACTAGAACACTACAGCGGACCACACTAAATAATAACTAGTATATAATTGTCTTATGTTTTAATTTTTTCAGTTATGTTTTAATAATTTCAGTTAATTATATTGTTTGTTCTTTTTATTTTTTATTTTTATAACAGAAAATATGATGTTACATGATGATAAATGCAACAAATTAGAACACAATGAAACCTCTTTAAACGCACTACTTAATGACAAATCTCTAAACATTAATTCAATTCAAAATCATCAACATCAACAACAAAAACAAACTTGTTCAGACACAAAAATACATGTCAACAACATTGAAAAGCAGTGCAATTTTGAAAATCTCATCTATTGTGATTTAAACGAAACGTTAGAAGAACAAAACTTATTAGAGAGCAAAGAGATTTTACCAAAAACAACAACAGCTGAATTAACACAAACAGAAGCAAAAGTAGTAGAAACATCAAAAGTAATAAAAACATTTGAAAAAGTGAATGAAATACAGAGTGTTGACGATGGCAACGGCAATGTCGTCGACAACGACAACGACGACGACAAACCCATACCCATACACGATAACAACAACGACAATACAAACATTCTGATGGTGGATGAGGTGAATGAAACGACAACGAAAACACCAGTTACGTGTATAAATGTTTATTCAAATTACAACGAAAACAGTAAAAATAACAGTAAAGAGCAGCACGAGACCTGCGCAGTTCTACAACCAAAAGAGACGTGTCAAATTCCAAACAGTTGTATTGTCAGAACATTGACAGCAGCAGCAACAACAACAAAAACAACTACAGCGACAACTAGAGTGCCATTAGAAAATATTAAAAGAAATAAAATTTGCTCATCGTCATCGATCGAAAATATTTCACCACAAACCCAAAACAAAATCCAAAAGAGTCACAATCCGAATCAGAGTGCCAACACAAATAATACTTCTACTGCTGATACAGCTACTGCTTCCATATCCTCCTGTTCTACAATAAATACACAACAAAAACATACACTCAGACAAGTAGAAAAAGGTGCTGAGCATAAAAATAATTGCCACCATTCGCAACGACAGCAACAACAAGAACAAGAAGAACGAACACAAGACCAGTTCACCAGTGCGTATACGTTAAGGGATTTTGCAAAATGTCTAAAACCATCAGCAGACGAGGACATCATATACACATTGAATTCTACACAAAATCAAAATGAAAAAGAAAAATTGCAAAAATTTCATTTCAATTCCAATTCTAATTTAAATTCAAATAAACAACAACTCAATTCAATTGAAAGTGTCTCAAGTGCAATAAAATCAATAGAAAATTGTGATTTCAGTGAAAAACAATTGAATTTTAATGAAAATTCAATTAAAATTAATGAAAATAATTTATATAATAAAAATTTAAAGGCAGACAATGGCATTAATGATTCACACGCAGGCCAGACAACTTTTCCAATTAAAGTTGAGCCCCAAAGTGCTTTAAAGCATCCGAAGTTTTTAGAAAATCAAGAAATTGTGAAATTAAAGGATACACAATTTTTGGAAATTGAAAATTTGTCAACACCTAAATTTTCAAATTCAACAAACCAACAAGGGACAGACGCCCAAAAGTCACAGCTAAAGAAACACGACGAAGAAGGGGTCGAATTTCAAACTCAGTATCCCAGTGAAAACTCTTGCGAGACATTTAAAAATATCGAAAATTTCGATAATGAATTAAAATTTGATTGTAATGAAAAAATCTATACTGGAGAAAAGTATTCCCAACCATTGTTGTATTTAACATTTGTATGGCCAACAAAAAACGAAGGCCAGGTGGTGACGACGAGACGACAAGGTAACGACGACCAGGGGGAAAACGAAATACAAAAAATACAAGACGAAGAGAAAGAGGAGCAAGGAGAAGAAACAAAAAAAGAGTATAACAGCAGGAGCAACAAAAATAAATATGTTGATGATGAATGTGAATGTAACTGTAAATTTGCGAGGAGAGTATTAGAAAAAACATATGGAACCTGTAACGAAAAGCATGTTGGGGGCAGCCATAAAGGACGACAGCTAAAAACGGTAGAAAGAGAATCGCAAGAAAAACACGAAGAAGAAAACTTCAATGATAATAATAACTGCTGCTGCGTTTGCGATTGTGATGGTGATTTATTCGAACAAAGAATCTTAATAGATAAACAAAAACGCGAATACAAAAATCAATGTCTACAACACAATACAATTCAAGAAACAAAGAATAGTGAAAATTTTCAAAATAAAAATTTTATACAAGAAAAAAATAAAAAGGAAAATTTTAACAAAGTTTTTAAAAGTGAAAATCATTACCATGAAATTAAAAATAATGAAGAAAATATAGAAAATATTGCAAAAAGTGCAAAAGAAATAAATGTATTAAATGAAGAAAGTGATAAAGATTTATGTAAAGAAAGTTGCAAAAAATTTATCTTAACAAGTGAAAAATGTGTATTACAAAGTGAAAATTCCAAAAATATTACCAATACTACTGCTGACCAAGTTGTAGTAGAGAATAATTTTCATATAAAATCCCTGGCGATAGACATAAATCGCAATAATCCCAATTTGAATAAAACGGAAAGTGTATACAATCAAGATAACATTCAAAATATACTTAACCTCAATAAGGGTCTTAAAAGATTAAATGAAACAAACCAAAACATTAATAACAATCAACTATTGCATGCAACACCTACTCCAAATACAACTACTAACAACAACCACCATCATCAGCAACAGCAGCAGCAATTGCTGTTAGAAAAGGAGAAGCAAGTGGAAGAGGACCAGTTAAATCTTGAGGAATTCGAGGCTAGTCAACGTTTAAAACGTTTACTACAACAACATCAACAATTTCGTACACGTTATGATACAACCACCACATCAACAACAACCCAATTCGATAACTATAAACAAACTAATGCAATAACAACAGCAACAACAACAACAATTGAATCAGAATCCTTGAAAACAGAAATAGCAAGACATTCAAAGGAGATACCAAAGGACAATTTATTTATTCCCAACAACAACAGCAATCAAGAGGGGGTGTTAAATACGAATACAAACACAAACTCAAAGTCGGAGACGAATACATCGACGTCGACGATAACGACGTTAACGAAGGCTAACAAACTTCAAGCAGACTATGAAACAACTTTAGAAAGGTCGTCGTTATTACACACAAACGAACACAAACAAAAAGGGATAATTGAAATTAATACAAATCCAAAGGAACAAAAGCCAATTTTAAGCCTAAAGGAGGAACAAGTAGAAAAAGTTAACGAAGTAGAAAACGAAGCAAAGGATACAGAAAAACAAAAAGAAATTGGTAAAAGAGCCACAGAAAACGTATCAAATAACAAAGAAACAGATGAAAATGTTGAAGAAAATAAGCGAAATTCACCACGGGCATATGTCAGCAAGAAAATAGTGCGCCTGTCACAACAACCACCACAACAACTACGACAAAATCACCAACATTCTCAGTACTCAACAAATCCTTTGGCCAAACTTGACTTAACACATAAACAAGAGGGGCAGCAGCACCAACAAGGAATTGTTATTGAAAATTCTTTTAATTTAAGGTTTCCCACAGAAAATATTGACAAAACGGAAATTTTACAAAAACCATCACCTTCAAAACGTTGTAATTTAAATTTACAACACATTGTAAAAACAAAACAACTACTACAACAGCAACAAGAGGAAAAAGAATTCATTTTAAAACCAACTCAAACAAAAAGTTGTTCGCCCCCACCACCTCTACCAAAAGCAACACAAACAACATCGGATTCGGATTCTCAACTAAATGAATATAAAAGTGCATTTGTGCCAACGAAACCGGAAATATATAAATCTATTAAACCCTTAACAGGAACAAGCGGGAATTTAACAACTACCACAGCAACAATTCCCCTTATTCCCTTAACTGCAACACTATCAGAATTTGATACACAACGGTTCAGTGATTTTTTATATTTAAATAATTTATCTACTTCCCTCAACAACAACAACTATAACGATAACTATAACAACTCGCCTAATCGTCAAATAACGCACGTGTTGCCAACCCAACAACAACAGCAATATCTGTTATATGCAACAAATTTAGTAGATCCACAGGAAATACCACCCTACTGCTATGACGAACTACTATATCTAAACCAAACACAAACAGAGTTACAGCAACCCGAACCATTTCAAGCTATTAACTCTTCCACTGTTACAACAGAAACAAATAGAACGGCTGTTGAAACAGACGTTGCTAACGAAATAGATGACGATTTAGTTTCAATAAGTTCAACTAATTCGTCTCCGTGCGATTGTATTAATTGTCAACAGCAATCGGAACAAGAAATAGATCGCGATCGTGAGCGTTTATTTTCAATTGACACAAATATCGTGATACCCGCAGTATCACTAACCGAAACAGAAGCCGTAGAATTACTCAAACAACATCAACAAACAACACAATTCAAAATGCGTGAAGTTAACGGTCAATTGCGTGGTTTACTCAAGAAACCAAATCGTCCGCCTCCTACACGTAAAAATCGTGTCGTGTTCGATGAGACGCGTAATGAATTTTTTGAAGCCGATTATATTATTTTGATACGCGAGGATTGTGCCTACGACGAAGAAGACGAAGAACCCTGCACGTGCGGTGAACATGAATTGGTGCGTTTGTGCTGTGAGGAGGGGTGCCAGTGTAACTATTCGACGGCACCGGCTACAACAGATGACAATCGTACACCACAGGTATGTTAAATGAAATGAATGATAATATGAAAAACATTTAATGATTCCATACTAAACATACATACATATAATTAAAGTTAATTATGATTAATATGGTTTTTGTTTTGTATTTTTGTGGCAACTGTAAAATGATATTTTTCGACTCTTTAATTTGTTGCATTCACTAAATGAATATTAATTTTAGTTTTCGTTGCCAGAGTATGTAATCTTCTTAAACATACATAGAATTATGAAAATCGAGAAAACAGATATATCACTGTTGTTGTAATAGAAAAGAGTTCTTGTCATTCATACTGTCAGGTGTTTATAACACCTGTTAAATGCAACATGTATACTAAACATAATGGAAACATTTCCCCTAATTGCATAAAGTGGAAATGTTGTATATATCGCTCTTTTACTATAAGACTGGCATAATCCAAAAAAACTTTTTGGAGAAATATGACTTTGAATATTTTATAACAATTTACTATTTCTTAAATAACTTCTAACCAAATTATTAGATTTGAAATATATGATATATCTCATTTTATATTTGAAATCCAATAATTTGGTCTGTCAAATTTTTCATCCGTGTATATTCTTTCAATGCATTACATATTGCGTTTAGACTATCTAAAATTTTGACTTTTGTTAATTTGAAGTCAATGTGAACATTGGAATCGAATATTTAATGAGGGCTTGGTATAATTATGGAAGATGTTCTTCCGAATAATAAAGAGATATTCCTTTTTAAAAACAAATCATTTTATTTTCATTATAAAACATAACATTTGGATTCATAATAAATAATAAACAGCTTTCCGAAGAGTGGTTATACATATGTTGAAAGAATACTGTCAATTATAGAGATATGGTTCCAAAAGCTGTTTTTAATACTTTTAAGACAGTAATGTAATTATTTTGGAATAATTATGGACCGATCTTCTTAAAATTTTTATTCTTGTAGACTGATCTTCATAGTTTAGTATGACTAAGTCACTCTTCTCAACAATAAAAATTCAAATTAAATCGGATAATTTTAACTAATACTACATTGTTTACATAGTTCTTTGTTGTTAAAACTGTGCTATTAAATTCTGTATTCCGACATTCTAACATGTCGGACCCAAGAATGTTGATAAACCTACCACCTACCAAAAGAAGCAACATGTTAAAATCGGTGCTCATAAAGTCTCTGATATTAGTAAATTTTGTATAAAAACATTAAAAGGCTGCAACCAATGTGGTTCTATTGCTAAAAAAGTGCTGAGTTCTACTCCCGAAAATTGCAATTATACCAATTCTAAATTAGGAACGCTTCAATTAATCTAGTGGACTTCTTTGGACAAAAAGTGGAACATAAAATTACTACAGCGTACATGCTGCTTGGGTGTAAGTTTTGTCATGAGCATTGCTAGGGCTCTGGAACCGTTGCTTGGTATTACACCCATTAAAACACATATGAGGTGGCACTTACAGCCGAATGGCTATTGACTTATGTCGAACTGAACAGACACAGAATATGTCGGGAACTTTATAACACTGAACATTACAGCAAATATCTGTATGAATCCGTTGATACACAGATGTCTCTAAACTGGAGGATCCAGATTCAGATATATATTACCATTAAACTAATCACAACACTAGCTTTCAGGCAGAATTTCGTGTAAAAACGGAATACGTAAATTGGATTAGAATAAATATGGCGCCAAAAATATTGCCAAAAGGCAATGAGACTTAAGATTTTAAGAAAGCTTAAACCAAATACTATCTCAGAGACAAGCCATATCTTCAACTAAAGAGCGAACGTACTTAGGAACCCGAGGTAGTTAATCAGAGAGAATCTCATAAGGGCTCTTGGAATAATGAAACTCTGGGTACACACGACAAAGATTTTATGGGATGACCGTAACGAAAGCAGGATTAGAAGCCTCCTCAATATGAGCATATTTGAGGTTAGTATGATGATACGTGGCCACACAGGGTTACGGGCACAACTATAATAAATTTTACGTGGGGATTCAGACGAATGTAGAGCATATGGAGAGTACAGAGAAATTCTGGAGCACTTTCTTTTTCAATATCAGGCATTCAACGAGATCTTATCCAAATATCTTGGGAGTGATATTATTTTGAATATAACTTCCTTCACGAACACTGATTGGAAAATTCTCAGGAATTACGTCCAGAATACTGAGTCTCCGAACATCGGATGACAATAACCTCCATTGATCACTAGAATTTACATACCCTTTCAACCTAACCTATTCATTCGGTGAAATAACCAGGATTAATGGAATAAATTTTATTAATATGGCAATTTTAGTATTTTACCTTATGCGACATGGCGACAGTTACAAAAGTTCTCTTACTAAAAAAAATTCAACATAAATACAAATACAATACATATTCTAAGTTGCATTATGTAAATATGTATGTATACAAAAAGCTTAATGAAATACACTTAATTTAAGTTTTTCTGCTTATTGGTAATGGAAAAAGTTTCAAAATATATTCTAAACAATTTTAAATCTTATGGAATAAAATGTTACGAATAATAAATAATTGCCATACATTAATTACAACCAGTTGGTACTAAATGCACTTACATACTTACTTGTGTACAAATATGCATGTTTGTAAGTATGTATGTATATCTATAAACAGTAATTACCACTTATAATGCTATTGATTTTACCGACTAAACACATGAACGAGTTTAAAAGGAGAATTTGTAATTCTTTTCTAGGTCGAAATACTAGTAAGTGCTATGTAAAATATAAACCAACTACCTAAATATAGTAAATATATGAATGTATGTCTGTCTGTACATATCAAGCCCTTTTCGCAAAAAAGTCGTAACTCATAAAAACAAAATTTTATAGGAGGGCATTTTTTTAAATTATCTTCGAAATTGTTCTGATTTTTAAGCTATATTCGACTTTTTACGCTGACGTATTTTTTGTCGTACAAATTTTTATAAGTTGCTTACAATTCTCTGACTAAAAAACAGATTTTTGGTGTATATCATTATTTAATATGTATGTATGTCTATAATATCTGAAATTTAAGAGTGTAATAACTATTTTCTTCTTGGTCCTTATAACATGATCTAGCGATGCCCTTACGTCTGGAGCATTGATAACAAATATTGTTTGGTAATTAAAATGTGTAACAGTGGGCAATGGTTTCACCTATTCCCCATATAAGAGCCCCCCGAGTTCAGTTAAAACATCAAAAAATATGTTGTTAATTTAGTAATCGTGATAAGTCAGTTTGGTTAGCTTCCATATATGGATCCTTAGATGACTTAAAAATACCAATATAGCTATATTTGATGTAGACAAGTTTAATAGGAACCCAAATCTCTCTATCTCTATTTTGATTTATATTTGATCCTACACCTCATACAGAAAATCAGTTTAAAGTCAATAAATCTATAAAAAATTAAGAAAGTATGATAAAAATCTACAAAAATGGTTAGTTAACGAAATTAATCACCGTTTTAAGTTCTATAGACATCGGTCCACAAATGAGTCAAACTCTCGTTAAAGGCTTCATTCTGAAAATTACCCACATGTCCATATTAATATCCATACATGATAATACAATTCTCCATAAACCTAAAAGTAATATTTATGTATATTATGTAGTTGGTACATACTATTTCTTCAAAGTTCAGTTAAATATACTTACGTCTCTTGGTAACACATACATACATATATGTGTATGTATATGATGCAAATTTATTTGCTTAACCATCATTGAAGATAATCGAAAGTGATGAATAGCTTTTCATATTTTCAATGTCAGCTGAAACACGGTATAATCAATCAATTACAATTATGAATTGAATAATAATATAGTTTACTTAATATTTATTACTTAATACGTACATTCATTCATATGTATGTACAAAACTTATTACACTCAATACAAACAGGCAAACCATACATACAAGCAAACTAATTTAAAATTTTTCCAATAAGTTTAACAAATATAAAAAAAAATATATTTTCTTCTAAAATTGATTACTGTGTGACCTTCGTGCTCTTCCTCCTACACAAATTAAATATCGAAATGTTCTCCTTACGTTGGCCTCTTGGGTACTGAGCAAGGCTTTAAGTCTCTGGCAATTATTATTAAATTATTTCTTCGAACAAGATGTCTACATTAAAAACTCATTTAGTTTTAATAGAAATTTTATGAATTTTAACATTTATTTTCGTTGAAAATAAGTTTTGGCATCATTTTATATAAAATATTACTTGTGTTTGCTTAAGAACCATGAATGGCTGCACTAAATAAATAAGTCTGTATGTAGTTTGAAACCTTGGCAATAGAAATAGGAAAATATAAATAAAGGATTACACTGTGCTGCAAAAAAATATGTATAAGGTTTTTAAATTTAAGATCAAATTTAACACAAAATTTAAAGAACGATAGAACTTACGAAAAGGTTAATTGTCAAACGAACTGTGTACTCTGGTAAATTATCAGGAATATATTGATTCATTGGTTACCAAATTTACTCTTTTGAGTTATTTTTACAATTTAAAGTTCTGTAGATTACAAAGTGATGGTCAAAAAGCTAGTCCGAAGGAGTCAATGTACAGTAATGAAAATTTTTGCTTAAGTAGGTTACCTCGTCTAAGCCACATCTTGGAATAAGATTGTCCTTTTTTCGACCTTTCTAAATTATTTTGTTGCACGGTGTCATTTAACTCTTCAGACATTAAATAATACGTTTTAAATGATCCAAATAAAAGTATCATTATGGAAAATTTATATAATATTTATTCTTACCACAATGAGTTTTTTAATTTTATTTGTATATTCGCAAGTACAATGTACCCAGCAAAAACTTACATTGAAAAGTAATGAGTTAAAAAGCAAAACAGCCGCTTTTCACTACTTCTTCATTAGCATTTTACCAAAGAATATTTTTTAAAAGAATACGCATCTCGTCGTGCTGGTTGTTATGATTTACAAGTATTCTTTATGTATCACGACTC